ACGTAACAAAGTCGGGATGGATGGAAAGGTCCTTAATGTATAATGAAAAAGAAATGGAGACAAAATAGCACCCAGAAAAATGTGGTAAAATAGACTGCACCTTGAGCAGCTCTTCTGAAAAACCAAAAAAGCGGTTTGACGGTTAACATAATATTGCTCCAGATCACAAAGGAATTATGCCGGAATACATAAAGTTGAGAATATTTAAGAGAGACTAGCAAATACACGTTGATGAATATAACTTGAAGACAGTCTGTTGTAAAACGAATGGGAGTTCACGGGTTTTGTATATCGAGGCATACTAATGTTTCAGGTTTTAGTAAATTGTGTAGAAATGTAAATGAAATACAAAAGCGACTAGATATTTACCAAACAGTATTACGATCCTTGAAAGCAAAGTTCATTCTGATGAATGTGATGGGGACCAGAAAGGGGTGGAGGATCCAAAAGACAAAATATTGTTATCCAGTTCGCCTCGAACCCGAAGGAAGCAGCTGCATGTTCAAACAAATGCTGAATTAGAATTGGACTACGCGAATGTTTTGAAAAGGGCGGTACCATTTGCAAATTTTAGATAATTTGTATGAATAGGACAGGCAGGTTTATCATGGATACAAATAGGAAATCAGAAAAGCAAAGGATTTAAAGTTATTGAATTTCTACATCTTTTTTTATCTAATTGTGGCACGATGGGGCTATGTATCAGATATTGAGCAGATGCCTTCAAAGGGCCTATTTTGATTACGTTTCAATACCCGAACAGTAAGGGGCAACAGGATGTATCTCGATCGATTTCATATCAACCAAATATGGTGGTGAAGGCAAAAATCATTTTAGGCAGCAAAATATCAAACAAGAAGAAAATACCCATCCATCGGTACAAATGGTTATTGATAATGATTTAAAATCCGGAAGATGGGGCCCTATGATGATAGAAAACTAGTTGTTTGCTTTAATTAGGTAAGATTGATTAATCGGTGCCAATGAGACAAAGTGATGGTCTCTGTGATTGTGGCGTGAAAAACAGTATTCTGTCTATCTAATAACATAGCATAAACGACTTGATTGTCACGAACGATTACCCATTTCCGTGTACAATCGATGTACACATTCAGCACTCAGTCTGCGGTGGTATTCCATTGGGTGTGCGTGTCAGTATGCATGTTCTATTCCGTACTCCTAACACATTCGATGCGTGTTATGTGCTGTATAGTTTGCCTCCAGGCACCCACAGTAAACCAACGCCTGATCGGCTTCAAACGTGTTACCTGAATGGCCTAGATCGAATAACTGATCATGAGAATGGAGGTTGATTGCCCGGTTGATATATTATGTTCGATTTGTGTATGCTAGTGCTGGTGCTGAAAAAAACAAACGGTAACCATTTCGCTCATGCGATCTCTCACTCTGACAGATGAAAACCGTTCCACTTTGGTCTAGTGATCACCACCTTATAAGATTTCCAAGTCGACTGACGTTGTCAGTGAATTTGTGCAATTGATTATTCACAGTGTATGTGACGCACAGCAAGTGTAACCTGCATTTCCCAAACAAGAAGAAACCATAACTACAAAGGTATCATTGTTCACCTATTATCATTCGTGGGTGTCCTGTCGGGGCCATGGTTTCTTGATCACATGCTAATAGTCACCCTCACCTGACAAAACATCACACAGTGCTGCTTTTGTACCTGAGAATTATTCTCTACCAGTGTAATAATACTTTATCGGGAACCTACTTGGTGGCTTTACTTTCACATTTATATCTCTGCGTAGAGAATGATATCGATTAAACGACATACGAGATGCAGTTGTTTAAACAAATACTTCCTGAACATTTTTGTATATTTCATATTCGCTAAATTGTTCCGAATCTAAGTCTAGCTGTCACCTGAATCAACTAGATCTGTTTGTATATACAACAATGCTGAGCTCTAGTGCGAACGTAGTTCGAGTCTTGTGTCTCGCGGGATCGCATGAACTTATGATTGGATTTGCAGCCTGAGTCCGAAGGATAGCCAGCTGAATTCAAATGTCCTTATCCCGTAAAACTAATGACAGGTAACTGTGGGTAAAATGCAAATTCAATTTGCAACCATCACGTTAAATCGGGTTATTATAGTAAAATCGATATTGATCTCCTGATGTTGTGGGAAGCTTGGAGTTGACATATGATACACGGTGTGTACATAATACATACATAATAGTAATTCTGAGAGTAGTGGAATGCTTGACTTGATTATATGGTAAATCTTGTGAGTAGAATGCTTGTATTTGCATTTGAGCAAACCAGATTTAATCGAAATTCGACTGAAGATTACCACTGAGGACATTTATACGAAAAAGGTCAATTCATAGATTTTGTAATCAAAGTTTTCATTCTGATGTTAGCTGATCATTATCCAGTCAGAATGGTGTCCCTTGTCTCAACATCCATTCAGCCCGGATGAGACAATAATGTAACGTCGCACGATTGGGTAGTGGGTTATCTGTAATTTCGGAAGCCGTATATCACAGACTTTGTCCAGACTCCGCATGTCAGTGTTACCTGACTCATTCATTGTTTGTGTCGTTTAGATAACTGTGACGTGTATTGTTGGTTGAATCATTTTAACAACCTGTCGGCAAATTCCCGTGCAATGGAAATGATTTACCAGACGTGTGCATTCGAAATGCTTCACCAATGTATCCGTTCGTTCGTTCATCGGTGTAAGTCGCCATATCGATCTGCTACTTGGAGACGATTCGCATTGCGAATACCTAATTATTAGTGAGGAAAAACTTGTTTTGCCTCAAAATTCGGTCAAAGAAGCACCATCGGAATGAGGTTCTTGTGAATACTATCCTACGTAATAATTATCAGTCAGCATTTGTTGCAGCAGTTCAGCAGTAATGGACTCTCGATTGCGTTGATTTGCGAGCTCGAAGGAGGGTGATGCTCGTGGATTGAGTTCAGTATCAGACTACTTTGATTGCAAGACAAATTGTGATAGAGAAACTATCGTTTTTCGTTGAAAATTAATTGATTATTAGGTGTTTGACTATGTGGTGATTGTTTTTTGCACAAAATGGGAGTTGAATCGTGTGTAACACTCATCGATGATCGCCTACCCGTCCTGTGAACAGCTACGTGTAAACGGTTACGGAGTAAATCTTTGGTACGACACTCATGGCTTTTGGCGAATACCAAAGAACAAACACAGGTGATACATTGTTTCTAACCATATGTGATACTCGCCTGTCACGGATAGGGTAAAGTTTCTTGGGAAAACGTGGAAAAACGTAATCGTTTGCAGGTAGTTAGGAAACCAGAGAACAGAGAGAATCGAAGCTGATAGAATAAAAACAGAACGACTAAGGCCATACATATCCGATTCACGTAGATGGATAACGCAGAAACGGTTATACCGATCTTGCAGACACTGCATAAAAAACAAAAGAGGAGGGCAACGTGAATGAGTCCCCGATGTGGCTCAAAGGTGCTCGAATTCGGAAAACAATGCTACCACCTCACCTCTCTCAGTACAAATAAGTTTTTTTCAAACGATCCGGAAGAACAGAACAGATTCTCAAAAAGCACTGCTATTTGACTTTAACTGTGGTCTGCAAAAATCATCTTTCAAA